TGTCACACAGCAAGTGACAAGGCAAGCCTAGATTTAAGAGGCAACCATTAAGATGAGCTACCAGGAATTAATTAAGGTCTTACTAAATGCAGCAGTATATTTTCTAGAAAGGGACAGATTAAGATATTTGTGGGGAGTTGAGTGTAGGAGATCCATATGAAATTGAAAAAAAAAATAGTATGAATTGTACATGAAATTTATATGTTTTCAGTATATTAAATAATACAAGGAAATTCTTAAACATCTTGTGTTATCAGAGGAGGGGGAGAATGTAAGAAAAATTTAGACAGTAATGTGATTCTTGGCCATCATTTTATAGCTAAAGAAATTAAAGGTCATATATTCAGTGGAAACACCTAGAGGTCCTTTGTGTCTTTGATTTTTTTTTTTGTTTGTTTGTTTTTGTGGTACTGGGGATTGAACTCAGGACCTTGCGCTGACCAGGCAGGCGCTTGTGTCACTGAACTGTATCCCCTGCCCATCTTTGAATTTTAGCATTCTTCTGTTCTCTGCATTTCTAGGAACACAAAGTGCTGCTCACAGGAACACCACTGCAAAATACTGTGGAGGAACTATTCAGCTTACTTCATTTCTTGGAACCTTCACAGTTTCCCTCAGAATCAGAGTTCCTTAAGGACTTTGGAGATCTTAAGACAGAGGAACAGGTAGGAAATCTGTATGGTGAGGTACAAACCCGGGATCAAAAAGGTTGTGGACCGGTGATATAGCTCAGCAGACTAAGTGCCTGCTTTGGCAAGCACAGGGACTAGGTTTGATCCCACATGCTGTGCCGGCCCTGCTGGTGTGCTGAGCCAGTGACTGAGTCCAGGCATGGTGGTGCACGCCTGTTAGCTCAGGAGAGGCTGAAAACAGGAGGATCACTATGAGTCCAAGCTGGGTAGTAAGACCCTCTACCAAATACATAGATGAAAAAAAAAAAAAAGAGTTGCCATCAACCCTTGACACCTTTCTGAACTCTTACATCTTCTGTGGCATTATCTAAAACCTTTTTCCTCAGATAACAGAAACCTCTTTATTTTCTTTTCCATGTTTCTATATAATGTGAAAATATTTGTATTCATGTTATTTACTGGTTTATTTTTCTCTGGTAATGAACCACAGGTTCAAAAGCTACAGGCCATTCTTAAGCCAATGATGCTGAGAAGACTCAAAGAGGATGTTGAAAAAAACTTGGCTCCTAAACAGGAAACCATTATTGAAGTAGAGCTGACTAACATCCAGAAGAAATACTACCGTGCTATTTTGGAGAAGAACTTCTCCTTCTTGTCCAAGGGAGCAGGGCATACCAACATGCCCAATCTACTCAACACCATGATGGAGTTGCGTAAATGCTGCAACCATCCCTATCTCATCAATGGTGAGGGAATTGCTTGTTTGCTTTCTCAGTGAGAACTTCTTGGAGAGTGGATGCAATGACTGATCCATTAAGTTCAGAGGTGTGATAAGGTTTCTATGTTTAAAAAAAGATTCTTATGTGGACCATCTTTCTGTAGTCTTCTCTGTCCTCTTTGTTCTGCATAATCTCCAAATATAAATAGAATTTACTGTTTAGAATTTCAAAAGAATTCCAAGTCTGAAGCAGGAAGATCTCAAGTTCAAAGATCCCAGGTTAGATAAGCGAATGGCTTAGCAAGACCCTGTCTCAAAAATTGCCAAAAGAGACTGAGCTCAGTCCAAAGTGCCAAGGCTCAATTCTATGTATGAAAACAGTCTAGATAAACGTCCTCTTTGATACCCATTTCTTTTTTTTTTTTTA